GGTAGGGTCGGCTCAGGATCAATCCATGCTCAACTCTCACATCAACATTCATTCCATTTTCTTTGTAGCTTCAGGGGTCAAGGAGGTGAGAGATGAGCCGGAATGAAAGAGAGTGATCAAGATCGGCGTCGCGCAACCGATCATGCCATGCTGATTGGTCAGCTCTCCATAGCGAGTGCCGCTTTCCAAACATCGCCAGATATACTGGTCATTCACACAAAATCGGCCAAAAGAGCTCCTGAGGGGCAAATCAACTGCACTAAACCTCGGTTCTGGAGTTCTAAACGATTTGGCTGAGTGTGCAACCTGTACACCAATGTTCGAAATGAAGTGCCAACCTTTTCGATCAGCCAACCGAGCTAAATGCGGAAGCAAAGGGTCATCGCCGTTCAGGCGCTCACCAGGAAGTTCAGCGCTTGCTGGGTCATCACTGGGCTTAGCCTTTTTGGTCTTTGAAACTTGCCTCACAAACTCTGGGCTATAGCTAACCGACCACTCTCCAGCAGACATGATTCGACGTACGTGCGTCAAGTCCATATCCTTGGTCAAGGCATCGATCCACATATTGGACGTGGCTGTCCACTTGAGAGCAGTGTGAGGTCGACGAAGAATAGCTCTCAGCCAACCTATAGTGAAAGCCAGTGATTTCTGACTCCCGAAGGATGGTGTGTCACTGTTCCCTTTGTCATGGACATCCTTGGCGTCAACCACGGCAGTGAACCAAACGCTATCCATGGCACGGTCTGCAGCCTTGCCGATGACATTCTTTCCCCACAAGCTAGCAAGGAAGCCACGACACAGCTGCCCAACGTCTATGGACTCTTCCGCTGAGAGAGTTTCAGCTGAGTATGTAGAGCGACAAACTCGACTGATCCGATGAGATCGACAGTCAATAATGTTGAACCTTCCATGTTGACCTCGAACCAAATCTTTGTCTCCGAGAAGGATTACATATCCAGCTTGGGAATAAACCTTCTCAAGAGGCGAGCCAATGCCAGCACCGCTGCGCTGAACGTTGCCCAAGGCAGCATCGGAGATGGCTACAATTCCTGCTGTCCGATAGTCTACCGGCCGGAAAACAAGCTCAAAGTCTCCAGTGCGTTTGAACTCCCTGATCAAGCTATTGACTCGAGTGATGGTTCCGATGGTTGGAGGATTTTCTCCTTGTAGTGTTGAGACACCATACGACATGTCGAACCGCACCTGCGCCGTCAACCATTGAAGTGAACCAAGAGCTGCTCTGAGTTGCCTTGCCTCGAAAGCTGAAAGATTTGCTCCCGGGTCGGATTTCCGGTTCTTGGGGAGGTGGATCTCTTCCAGGTTTTGGTGGTATTCCCGCATGGAAAGACGCACCGTTCCATCTGAGGCCCTTCGGATTCGCTTGCCACACCAAGTGAAGTCTCCTCGGTCCTGTGAGCCAAAACCAAGTTCCTGTCCAATTGCTGCCAGCGAGGCCTCAGCAGTTGGAGATCCTGTAAAAAGGAGGTCATCAACGTGTGCAACAATCAAACCCTCAAGAACAGGCTGTTTGTCGGCATCATTTTGCCAAAAGGTCCACATGGCTGCATCGATAGTGGAGCGACACCACTTGTGTTCTTCCATGGATCTCGACAGTCGCAACCACCATTCTCTGGGAGCATCAGCCAAACCAAAGATCCCCTTGAGAACACGACATAGCTGGCCTGGCTTCAAAGGAAGAGATGGAGATGTAGCCGGATTGGTGTTGGTGACGTACAGCTCACGATCCATGTAGGGGTCACCCTTCAGAAATGCCGACTTGACATCTGAAGAAATCAAGCTCCACCATGTGTGGTACGCCGCAACGCTGAAGAGAAAATGCTGAGCTATGCGACTGCCTGTCGGGGCATCTCGACGAAGCTGACCTGTTAAGTTGCTTCTGTCCTGGTATCCAGGCACCACCAGCCGAGAACTGGGCTTGACCGGTAATGGGTGAGAGGCTGTCCGAAGTCCATCATGCTTGTCTGTGAGCACAAATCTGGGACGAAGGATTCGGTCAAGTTCATTTCGCTTGGCAAGATCTTTTCGAACTCGAGCTGACTCCTCCAAGGAAAGCACTTGCACTGCAGCGTTGTCGATGTACACCTGCCAACCACTCACAGCTGCATCACCCCAGAGCTTCTTGTCTGTTGCACTCATCTTCGACCAAGCATATTCTTTGCGAGCTGCTTGCACCGCATAGGACTCGTGCATCTCTTCGCCGCATGGCAGTGAGAGGCCCAAGGCAACAATGGTGTTCCAATCACGCTCGCAAATGAAAGCCCAGCGGCCATCCCAAGTGCCATGGTCCTGCTCTTGAGCTTCAAGAGGGGACCAACGATCCAGATCGACTTGCGCTTGCAGGGCGACCAGGGGATGGGCTGTAGAGCTGTTGGCCAAACATTCCAGCTGCACACTGTCCAAGACAAGAGCTTCAAAGGCTGTCGCTTCTGAAGGCCGAAGTTCACCTGACGTTGAAGGCCTAGCAAAAGCATCTTCACGAGGAAGGTCATCTTCTGCTGGTCTTTTTGTTCCACGTTCCCCTTCATCAAATTCCCGTGCCCGCTCGAGAGTGCGAGCCAAGGCTTTAGCTGTTGCTTGAGGGAAAGGTGTCCGTTGAACAGCTTGAGCTACACCTTCGGGTAGTGGTGTGGCAATGCCTGACCCAACGGCTGAAGGAGCATCTCTGCTAGGTGCTTGAGCTGGAGGTGAAATAGCAGCAACCACCTCAGCTGGAGTCAAAGGAGAAGAGGTAGCTACAACGGGCAAGGGACGTTCATCTTCAGGAAGTGGTTCAACATCTTGCTCATCCTCTCGATTCACAGCATCATTCTGCGCTGCAGAGATCACCTCTTCAATTGCTGCCTCCCAAGAGCCAGAAGCAATGCTTTCAAGCGAGGATGCCTTTCTCACATGCTCCACTGGGCACTTGGTCAATTGACCACGAAAGGAAATGAAACAATTTGAAGCAAAACCATGACCATCTTTGCCCTCAATGGCCACGAGAAGACCAGGGCCATGCCACCTCTTCAAAAGAAGTTGACGTCTTGAGCCAATGCCTCCGTCCTTCTTGGACTTGTACTTCTGCGCACGCCAAAAGAAAACAAGATCTCCTGGTGTAGGCAAGGATGTAGCCGTCGAGGAGCGGGAGCGACCTAGTTCTGCTCTTCTCAGTCCACGACTATAGTGAAGTCTGGTCATAGCCACTCTGGCTGTCTCACGCATCGCCACCTGCTTGGCCATGGAGGGAGTCACCTCCAAGAGTGAGTGCTCAGCTAAGTGGTTGCCGAACTCAGCCAACACGTCGCCTTGCGATCGGGTGTTCTTCCCGGTCACCATCTGCTGAGGGGAGACACCGCTCTCGTTCACATCGTTGTTGTAAGCAGCGACCCCTTCGCTCACTGCGCATTGCATCTCCTCGTAGGTGGAGACAGCATGAGTCTGGCAAATGGCTGAAGTCAAGGCTCTCAACGTAGCTCCGCTGCGCTCAGCGATACCGTTCTGCCAAGGCGCACCGACACCGCAGTGGTAGAGGTAAATGGACTTGCTATCACACCAATCGCAGAACTCAGCACTGATGAATTCACGGCCTTGGTCTGCCACCAAAGTGTGTGGGAAACCCATGAGTCCAATCCAGTGCACGGTCAAGAACTCAATGCAGGCCGATGAGGATTTGTCTTCCAGAACACGAGCCGCCTGAAACCGCGACACGTTGTCCGTCGCATGAGCTATCCAATGTGGCCTCTTCAAAGAATCTTCAATTTGCAACAAGTCAACGTGCACCTGTTGTCCCACTTCACGTGGTGGAGGCAGTGAAGCTGGTAGTCGAGGCTTGGGAGGCTGTCGTTCACGACACACTGAGCACTTCAGCCGCTTTGCTGCCAAGACAGCATCATGGGGTGCACCTGCCACCAACAAGGCACGAGCCAAGCGTTGGTTGGATCTATGCCCTGTATTCACATGAAGACGGTAGACCGCATTCTTGATGGCAGGCGAAATGAGAACTTTGGCATCGTCTTTGACCAGTTCCTCCTCATCAGAGCCTTCTGATTCCATATCGTCGTCTCTGTCAGCAGCAAAGGCCTCATTCTCAGTCAAAAACACTTCAGTCCCACCTTCAGGAGATGAGTCTGGGCTGAAGAGCACTACTTTCTCGAAGTCATACTGTTCCAAAAAGGCCTCGACAAGGGCGTCAGAGAACTCAGAGGTATAGTGTCCAGCTGCGGCGGTGATCTTGCTACCGCCCATCACGGGCGCATGGTTGTGATCTCCTTCACAGCTGCAGTTCAAAAAGGCGCTCACCACTGCCTGCATGGAAGTGAGGAGCTTTGTTGGTTTCTTGTGTAGAAGGCCGTCTGGGGCACGTAAATTGAAACAACACATGTCCAAGACCACCTCCAATGAATGAGTGCGAAGCACAAAGTCCTGCAAAGTAGGAAGGCGCCAAGCCATCGAGTTCCGAGGGTTCTCCATGACATAGTGCCGGCCGTGGGCCACTTGAAACTCTGCCACACGAAGTGCGAAAGCTATCAAACTCAATGCCTCTTCTCGCATCCCAGCCAAATTGGCGGCTGGGTTCAGGAACTGAAGTGAAGACCAAGGGCCGCAAGGAAATGCCAGAACAACAACATAGGGTTTTGTTCTCTTCAAGACTTCAAAAGCAGCAATCTGGTCTTTCTGCAAACGAAGGTCCCAACCTGAACTCAGGGTCAGACTGTCTCCAGCGTGAAGTCCACGTCGTCGAATTGCACGAGCCACAGGTTCAGTGTCCGTAAACACTTCAGTAGCCAGGGTATGAGGAAATGTGAACTCCAAAAGGAAGGTCTCGTTCATGTAGGCTCGCATGTCCGTCTCCCAAGTAGCCATGAAAATCTCCTGAACATCTTTGGAGGAAACGGAAACAGCTTTCTGGTCACGCCTGTGCTGCTCCCAAGCCTGGGAGATCATTTGCCGCAAGCCAGGTTTCAAATTCTTCCTTTCCACATGAAATTGAGACGCATTGCTCAATCCGAGTCCACAATCTCGATCTTGGCATCCACGGAGGCTCCACTCTGCTGGTTCTGCACGGCCTGGAGGACGGTTTGCATCATCGCATTGAAGCGCTCGTCCTGGGCCTTCATCAGCGCTTGCACCTTCAGCTCCATGGCATGGAGTTCCTGTCCGATGTTGGAGCCCATGTCGGCTCGCTGCTCTGGAGTCAGAGGTGGAGTCATTCGGTCCACTTGGGCCCACGCTGTACTCGGAGGACTCGACCATGTTGATACACCAGATCGTCCCGGAGGAGTGGAAGGGACCGTCTGATGCTTCAAGGTTGAACTGCTCGCCGGAGTGGGTTTTTGCTTGAGAATGTCCACAATCGGCCGAATCTTCTTCTGCAAATTGGCAATCGTGTCCTTCGCATCGACCTCGACATTCAACAGCAAGGCCAAACGAACAAGGTCGGCTCGGAGAGGTGGTAGTCCACCACGAGGACCGATCATCTGACGGGCCAAAATCTCTCGATCCTGAACTGCTGTCTCCTGGCGAGCTCGCTCTCGGGCTTCGTCCAATGCAGCTTGCTTCACCCGTTGACCATGCCCTTTCATCTGCCGAGTCAAGAGGAAAGTCTGAAGAATCATATCCTCCAGGAAGGCAAACTTCCACCCAACTCGACCGGAAACGGGATAGCTCCTGCAAGTGCTCCGCCGTGTAGAGGTTCCGGTTGGTGGCATAGTAGTGGTGACGGCGGCTCATCGAGTGGTTGTCCACCATAGTCTGCGCTTGCAGCTTCCAATCGGTCACAGACGAAATGGCAGGGTAAGGAAAAGGCAAGTACCGCAAATGTGAGCGCGGCGCCAACCAAAGCAGCAAGCTTCGTGCGTGCCAGAAGGCACGATCCAACATGCGAAGGATGAACCTTCTCCACCGGTATGGTACGAAGGCTCGACTTCCCACATGCTCCGTGTACTGAGCAATCAAGCTGGGCGTCAATGGAATCAGCTCGTACGGAGTGTCTGCCGGAGTCGCCATGCCGCTGATCTGGTAATCGAGGAGCTCGAGGACGTTCTGGTAGGAGAGGAAGTAGACGGTTGCTCTGAGCACGACAGGAGTCACGCTTCATGTCTCGAGCCAAAGTCGAAGAGGAAGCTGCCGTCAAGTGAAGCTCATGCCAGGAACTCGCTGCAGCGACACTGGATTCAGTCAACAGATGCTCATGCTTTTCATCGGAGGGGTGACCTTTTGAACCTTCAGCTAAACGCCTTTGCAACCAATCGTGGGGTTGAAGTTGAAGTTCAACAATACCGTCTAAACCACACTTTCGCCATCTGTGAGGTCCTGGCCTTGGCCAGATCGCCGGCTGCAGGGGCAACATGAAGTGCCCAGCTGACATTTGTGCCAGGTCCAGCCTTTGGAGCTGGATGAAGCGAAATTCAACAGTGCGGTTCCCAAAATCAAGCACGGCTCCACGGGCGTCCATGAAGTCACGACCAAGCAAACATCCCAATGAACTAATCGGAACAACTGAAATCCATAAAAGCAGCAAACGTTTCTGTCCCAAACAAATTGGAATTCGCCAGCGTTTGGTTGAGGGGACTGTTCCACCGTTCCCGAACTTGAAACGCTCGGTCTCATCGACATTCACAATCAGATTGGTGATCCAAGCGGGTGCAGAGGACTTCAGATGCTCTACATAAGTGTCCAACCAAAACTCACCGCAACACGTACGGTTGCAGGCCGAGTCCAAGGCGCCCACCAGAATCTTCTCTTCTGACAGCACCTGAGAGGCGGGCGGCGAACCAGCGATCAAGGCTGCGTGAGAAACCCGGTGGTTGTTGATGGTGAAGTCCAGAGCTTGGTCCAAACGAAGAGACCCTACATGGTTTACCATGGAGGCTTCATGAACCTTGGGGTCAACCGGGAGTGATGCCGATGGAGGTGAGGAGGATGAAGTACCAACCAAAACAGTGCTGGGATCATGTTCTGCATGAAGCGCTTCAGTCACTCGCACTTGCCGCGGCTTTGCTTTTGCCACAGCCAACGGCTTGCGTCCAAGTCCTGCTCCTGGCTTTGGGCACTCTTTGTCGCCTGCCCAGTGACCATGCTGGTTGCAGTCAAAGCATGGGTGGCGACCTGACGCTTTCCTTGCTGCTGGCACTCCAGCATTCTTCGCACCTCCAGCTGGGCCTCCTGGCGAAGGCTTACCGAAGCCTCGGTCTTTTCGAAGCTCTTGGAGTTTGGAGCGAGCCTCTTTCATTGTGACTAATGCCTCTGCTGCCTGTTCAAAATCGGCCTCCACGCTTTGCAACAAGTCTGGATCGGCACCCTGTTCTTCAGCAGCCTGAAGTTCCGTGGCAAGGCATTCTGCTTCAGACTGGAGGAAGTCCACAAGTCCTGGCTCTTCCACATCCTCAGCAGTCTCAGCTGAGGCTTCCAAGACTTCTTCAACAGGTCCATCCTCATGGCCCTCTTCAGGCACTTCAGCCATATAGACCTTCCGAGTTGGGGCACTGCTGACACTGGCCGTCGAAGGTCTCCGAAAGGAGGACGCTGAGGAAAACATGGAGGGACTTCTACTAATGGTCGAAGCAGAGGACGAAGCGGAGGACGAAGGACCAACCGACTGAAACATCCGACGAATCGACAACCTCGGCTTGTCACCACCTTGGCCAAACTTCCGGTGAAGAGGATCAGCCAAATGCAGGTCTTTGAAGAGTCGGAGAACTTCGGCCTCGATCACATTGTATTCCTCTCGGCCTTGAAGCGCCGTCTCAAGCAACTGGCGACGAAGAGGATCAAGGCCAATCTTGTTCTTGAGGAACCAACCGAGTTCAGAGGCCGGCAAGTGAACTTGTTCAGCTTGGAGGTCAGCAACAAGTGTCCTGAACCGAGTGCAGAACTCACTCAACCGTTCCCCAGGCTTTCGTTGAAGTTCCAAATAAAATTGGCTTCGCAGTTCACCACGCTTGTCCAAAACCGTCTGGCCATTGATCGACTCAAGGGCGTCAAGCAGCTTGTTCAAGCCACGCAAGTAGTCGGGAGGAGTGATCTCGATCTCATCGTTGGTGGTCGGGTCAATGCCCATTTCCGCAGGCTTGTAAGCCAAGTCCTCAGGGTTAAACTCTTCCCCTCGCTGACGCACTATGCCAGTCTGACGCAAGAGCCAACGTGCTGCCAGGTTGTACTTGGCAGTCGAAGCGAGGTCTAGGCTTGAGACCCACCAGCGCATTTCGCGACGAAAAGCACGCCAGGTCAAAGGCGAACCGTCCCATGTAGGCACCTGGTACCAAGAACCCTTGGCCTCCTCACCATTTCCAGCCATCGTACCGAGGGTCTCTTCAAGAACTACCGGCAGGATGAGGACAAAGGGAAGCCAAAGATCAAGGCAACACTAAAGGTGCACAAGAAGAAGCTGGAGATCGTCCAGTTGTGGAGAGTCCCCAAAGCAAAAAGGGCCCAAAAAGCTCAGTCACCCAAATTCCGCTTGGAAAACTAAGGGGGACAGAACCAAGGCCAAGCAGCCAAGTCGAAGGGCACGCACCAAGCTCAAGCGCAAAAGGTCCACAGATCGCAACGCAGCTCCGGTGCCACTGAGGAAACAAGGGCCTATTGCAGCGAACGAAGAACGGACACAGC